ATCTAAACAAAACTATTTAATTATCTTTCATTTAGTCGGATTTAGTTGTCTCAATTTGACTTTTATATAAAATTTAACTATATAATTTTATATGATAAATAAATGACTATTGAAAATTTTTTTTCTTTCTATATATAATTCTTGTTGGGTATTTTCATCTAAACAAAACTATTTAATTATCTTTCATTTACTATATAAAATCATTCTATCAAAGTCTATAAAAAAATTAAACTAGGACCACTAAATCTTATTAAAGGAGTATATTTTAATAATTTGAGATAGACAAACTGGAAAAGCATTAAATTTTCTTTTATTTAAGGAAATTTCTCTTGTTTTTTGAGAGGGGGATAATTTTTATTAGTGATATGTGGGAATAGAACTCTTACCCTTTTGCTTAAAGCTCTTTGGGTGTGAATCAATTGACCAAATAGTTTGCTCCCCACCTTGTTGACCAAGAGTCGATTTTTTTGGGAGGCCTATGAATAGGTAATTTTTCATAAATTCTATAGTTTCAGCATGGATGGCCTACCTAGGGGTGGGCAATTTCGAGGATGCTGTATTGTCCCATCAATACATATTGAATTTTTGAAAATCAGTTTCGAGACTTGTACCAATAGGAACAAGAGACCAGTACAAGAGTGGTACCAATTAGCATTTTGGAATGGTTTTCAGTTTCCAACTTAAAAGTACCAAATACCGAGTATCATATATTATAATTAAATATATTAAATATATTTATAAATTAATCAATTAAAAAATTAAAATAATTAAACCCTATATTTCTAATTCAATGGTAAACAGAAGTTATGAAATAGTCAAAAGACTCAAAACCCTTAATCTTTTTAATTTGTCATTTTACCTTTTACCTTCTACATTCATCTACAGTTTACTCTTCTCCTCCCCCCCCCTCTCGACAATGACTCCATAATTGCAAGCAGCTAGCAATGACAATTGGCGTCGCGACCCATGACCAAATACCAACCACTATTAGCATAATTACTTCACCAACAAACCACAAAGAGAAAGAGTAATAGCCAAAGGGGGAAGACAAGAACCACTAGTAAGTCTAGAATAATACATACTTTGCTTGATCTTTCTTCAAAACATGGGTCTGATGTGTAAATTCTTAAACAATTTTGATGGATTGGACAATTCCCTTTCAAGTGTTTACTTTGAATACCGACATAGTTCCTACTTTGAATCCAATCCAAATTTCAAAAGATAGGAAGCTTTATTCTCACAAAACTTGAAATAACAGAGAAATAGAGAGAGTACAAGGAGAAAGGAAGGTGCGGAGACAATTCCCAATTGTAACCAATACACATTGGGTTGATACTCAATTTTTGCTTTAAAAGTACCAAGTATTGATTTTGGAATAGTGCACTGGGTAAGCATATTTGGGTTAGTACTCAGTACAAGATTGAAGAATCAAATATAATTGGTATGATACAAAATTAGTCTAGTGTAGTATAGTACTATACCGATGCCCACCCCTAAGCCTACTTTTCACTTAGATTGTGGAGGGATTAGTTTTGAGGTGCATACAAACTAACCTGAAGTCACCTTAATTACTAACCCAAAAAAAAAAAAAAACATAAAGGTAAAGCAAGACTTTGATAAAAACTTAAGTAAATGTTTACTATTTTTTTAAAAGTTAGAATCAAATACACATAAATTTTAATCACTATAATAATATTCTTTAATAATAATAGTTGTATAATAGTGATGATTTTTTTTTTTTTAATATAGAGGACAATACTTAAGCACTAAATAAATTGAAAACTCTGATCTTACACACTCCTCATCTCAAAGTGTAACCCTAACTTCATGGGGCAGGTTTCTCAAAATTGTATAATCTTGGCTCCAAATGATAGAAAGATGATGTCATACTACACATGAGGTTGCTTCATAAAAAACAAGTCTTAACTTTCACTCCCATCCCAATCATGGTTCAGCAACTCAACAAACCCTTACAAAGCTGAAGAGTGAGTTAATAGTGCCACCATGTTACAAATATTGTTTGGTTAGTAAAAAGTTACTATGGTTACTTTCTTGTATCCTTTTTCCAAAGCCAATTGCAAGCCCTTCCATAAAGCATATAGTTTTCCATATATTGCATAGCCAATACTTAATTACTGTGTCAATCCAAAACACCAATCCCCATTGGAATTTCAATGCACATTACCTGTTGTGAAGATTCTCAATGTTGACATAGCCTAGAAGAGGTTTTTCCATGAACAAATTGTGACCAAGAAAATGGAAAAGGCAGACAATGTGAGGTCACATGAGTTAAACTATTAATAATGGTGGTTAATTTGCATCTTTTGAGGGGTTTGAAAGCTAATTCGCATCATTTAAGGGGTTTGAGGACTATGTTATATTGTTTTTAGTTCAAAGACTCACATGTTAATTTGGAATAAGTCTAGAGACTAAAGAGGGGTTTTACCTTACAAATTTACAAGAAAAGTGCTAAGGACAACTTTTTTAATACCCTATTTTAAATACTTTCCATATGCTTGGGGCAATTAGTAATTACTAATTGATATTAAAATTAATATTTTTAAATTTTATTCCCTTGGTTCCAGATTATTAGATGTTTTAGTCTCTTGCACACCGATCAAGAAAACCAATTTATTACCCTTGATTTTAAGGATATGTAAGCTCAAAGTACCATTTTACTCTTTTAAAATTTTCTCACATTATCACTTAAAACTCCCTAGTGCAATTCCCTCTCTTTCTGTTTTCCATCGCAGTGTGATTCTCTTTTGTCAAATTTTTTGGATGTTTCACATTTTGAAATCACTTCATCTCCAACATTGAGAGCATTTACCCAAATCTACACAAATCCATGGCAAGCAATTCATTTCATTTTTATTTTACTTCAATTTCATGGTTTAAACCTAGATTTCTGATTGGTTTCTATCAACCTCATCTTTTGACTATTCTTCATTGTTCTTAAGACTACAACCAACTCTTCCAGATGATGAGAACCGCAAAGAGAACAATGAGACCCACAGCACGACAAGGGATTTTTAAACTCCAGGAAAGCTAAATCAGGTTTATAATAGGACCTTGACCCGTTGTTTATGTCGCAACAAGAACCAAAGGTAAAAACCTTTAGCCATTGTCTATGACGCAACAAGAACCAGAGGTATAAAGTTGATTGACGCCACACCCTTGAACGATTAAGAACGAGAATGATAAGTCAGGTTAGAACGCCACAAGAATAATCTTGATAAATTCTGTAAAGTTCTTAAATGAACCAAAGAGAAAAGTCTCTCAAAATCTCAAATTCAATCCCCTCCCCCCCATTAGGGTTACAAGCCTTTTAAATAGAGAAAACAAATCTTAATTAGAATAGGAAATTAACACCCTAAGTCCTAAACCTAATAACCACGAATTAGGTTTCAAATAAGCGAATGTTCAGCCCAAAAATAATATAAAAAACGTGAAAATCACTAAAAATAACCTAAAATAACACGAAATATTAGTTTGCTACAAATTGCGGCAGAATTGTGCGATTTTGATGCAAACTGTGTAATTCCGTGCAAATGACCTCAACTAAGCTTCTCTTGAACCTGAATGATGTTTACCATGCCTTGATAATCATTCAAGCTTCAATTTGCTTGTTGTATGTTGTTTTCAACCCAGATCTGCTCAATAAAACCATATAAAGCTTCACGCATCTTCTCAGCTTTAGCTTGCGTGATTGGACCTCCTTGGGTGTGTAATGGATCACATGACGTAGTAGATATGCTGTCGTCTTGATTCCCATCATTCCCTCTCTCCTCAAAAGGATTTGTCCTCAAAAGGATTTGTCCTCAAATCGTCTCCTACATCAAAAGGAGAAAGATCAAAAACATTAAAAGTAGCACTAACATTATACTCACCAGGAAGCTTCAACTTGTATGCGTTGTCATTAATCCTCGCAATCAGTTGAAATGGTCCATCGCCTCTTGGTTGCAGCTTAGAACGCCTTTGTGCAAGGAATCACTCCTTGCGCATATGCACCCAAACCCAATCTCCAAGTTCAAATACAACTTTCTTGCATCCTTTGTTGGCTTGTTTTGCATATTGCTCAGTTCGTCGCTTTATGTTTTGTTGCACCCTCTCATGTAGTTGCTTAACCACTTCAGCTTTCTTTTTTTCATCCAAACTAGCTTGTTCATCAATAGGTAATGGTAATAAATCCAATGGAGTGAGTGGATTAAAACCATACGCAACCTCAAATGGCGAATAGTTAGTTGCTGAATGGATGCTCCGGTTATAAGCAAATTCAATGTGCAGCAAACACTCTTCCCAATTCTTCAAGTTCTTCTAAATAATAGATCGCAATAAGGTTGACAATGCCCTACTAACCACTTTTGTTTGTCCATCAGCTGAAACAAAATACCCTAAAAAGACAATCTAATTTGTGCAAAAGGAATACTTTTTAAGGTTAGCAAACAACTTTTCTTTTCTCAGAAGCTCAATATGATCAATTAAACTCTTACTATAATATATTAGAATGTCATCAAAATAAACAATCACAAATTTGCCAATGAAAGCACGCAAAACATGATTCATTAATTGCATGAATGTACTAGGTGCATTAGTTAATGCAAATGGCATAACTAACCACTCATATAAACCATGTTTTGTTTTAAAGGCTGTTTTCCATTCATCACCTTCCTTCATCCTAATCTGATGATATCCACTCTTTAAATCAATTTGAGAGAATATGCAAGAACCATGCAACTCATCTAACATGTCATCTAATCTAGGAATAGG